TACTCCTGTCTGTGACTACACACTCCTGTCTGTGACTACACACTCCTTTCTGTGAATATGCACTCCTGTCTGTGACTACGCACTCCTGCCTGTGAATATGCACTCTTGTCTATGAATACAAACTCCTGCCTGTGAATATGCACTCTTGTCTATGACTACACAATGCTGTCTGTGAATATGCACTCCTGTCTATGACTACAGAATGCTGTCTGTGAATATGCACTCCTGTCTGCGACTACACACTCCTGCCTGTGAATATGCACTCTTGTCTATAAATACAAACTCCTTCCTGTGAATATGCACTCTTGTCTATAACTACACAATGCTGTCTGTGAATATGCACTCCTGTCTATGAATATACACTGCTGCCTGTGAATATGTACTCTTGTCTGGGACAACACCCTCCTATCTGTGAATACACACTCCTGTCGGTGACTATGCACTCCTGCCTGTGAATATGCACTATTTTCATTGACTACACACTGCTGTCTGTGAATATGCACTCCTGTCTGCGACTACACACTCCTGTCAGTGAATATGTACTCCTGTCTGTGACTATGCACTCCTGTCTGTGACTACACACTCCTGCCTGTGAATATGCACTCCTGTCATTGACTACACACTCTTGCCAGTGACTACTCACTCCTGTAAGGGACTACACACTCCTGCCTGTGGATATGCACTCGTGTATGAATACACACTCCTATCTGTGACTATACACCCCTGTATTTGACTACACAGTCCTGTCTGTGACTACACAGTCCTGTCTGTGACTACACACTCCTGTCCGTGAATATTCACTCTTGTCTATGACTTCACACTCCTGTCTGTGAATATGCACTCGTGTATGAAACACACTCCTGTCTGTGAATATACACTCGACTATGATACACACTCCTGCCTGTGAATATGCACTCCTGTCTGTGACTACACACTCGTGTCTGTGAATATTCACTCTTGGCAATGACTGCACACTCTTGCATGTGAATATGCACTCTTGTCTATGACTATACACTCCTATCTGTGACTACACACCCCTGTCTGTGACTTCACACTCCTCTTTGTGATGACACACTCCTGTCTGTGACTACACACTCCTGCCTGTGACTACACACTCCTATTTGTGACTATGCACTCCTGTCTGTGACTACACACTCCTACCTGTGAATATGAACTCCTGTCTGTGACTACACACTCCTGTCTGTGACTACACACTCCTATCTTTGGCTACACACTCATATCTGTGACTACACACTTCTCTCTGTGACTACACACTTCTGTCTGTGACTACACACTCTTAGCTGTGACTACACACTTCTATCTATGACTGCACATTCTTGACTGTGCCTGATCCCTGACGTGATGTCTTCAGCCTTGAGTAATTATCGGCCATGTGCTTGTGTGTTTCCTTGACTGGTTTGTTTGTTTAATTTTGTTTAACACTTGCGTGGCCTATGTAAAAACACATGTAATCACTGTATTCTACAATGGTGATTACCTCCTACTGTAAGAGTATAATGATGGGTGTTGGACTTTAAACATGGTTACTATTGATTTCCAGTGCTGCTGTGACATGAGACGGTTAAGTAAATCAATAATGGGGTCAATAAATAACGAATGAAGTTACCTTGTTGCAATTTGTTTGTAATCCTTTTTAGTTAAACACAATTGTTTGCTGTTTTCCTATAGTTTAGCAAAAACATCTAATAAATACAATAACAACACTTTTGTTTTCATCAGGAATTATATAAAATTACTTTTGGTAGCCAAGTACAGTTCACAACAAAAATGAAAAGTTTCCATAGATGCAACAATGGGATGTAGAAATAAACAGTGAGAAAACCCAGCTTTGTTTTGGAGCTCTAATTCAGATATACCCAACAAAAACTGAGTCAGTCAGGCTCACATAAAACTGGATTTTTATGACTGAACTGGTATTTTAATATAGTTAACAGTGTTGTTGTGATGTCACACTTGAATATTTAATTTTTGTAAACAAACTCTGCAATTTTTCACTGACTTTATGCTTCTTATACAGTTTCTAGATCAAAACGTTAGTGTTTTGTAAGCTGAAAATATTTTAAAGGAAACCCAAACTCTTTAGACTTTTGAAAAAAAAAAAAAAGTTAATTGATGTTTGAATTTCAGGCCATAGCTGCATTGGCACCCTTCAAAATTTTTACATAAATATTTTAAAAATTAAAAATTAAATATGTTAACAAATATACAACAAAAAACAGATTTAAACAAGTATAGTAAATATTAGTTTTTTGTACATTCTTTATACTGAAAGCAAATGAGAAGTCATCACTTTCACTTGTCATGACATATTTTTTAAATATTATGAGTCGCAATAAACAGAACATATTTTAGTAGGCTTGGTTTATAAATTAAAATCTGCATATGTATTTTACTGAAGTGGCTCTTTATTTTCTGTTTTATAGTGCCCTGAAATAACACATTGTGAATTGGGGATATGATTACCTGTACTAGAAAGTTCCTGGAGAAACTTTGACGGGGACTGCTGCATCACGGCCATTTGAAAATTTTTATTTGACAGTACTATGTGTTTGGGTTCGCTCTTAGCTACCACTAAGCCAAATTTCAGCTCAATATGGCAAAAAATCAATGACTTATAGTATTTTTCTTTTAAGCTATGGCAGCCATCTTGGATTTTTGATTTGGATTCAGTACGTGATTGGGAAGCTATAATTCCAAATTTCAGCTCTAGGTGTAGAAATAGCTGAGTTAAAGCCATTTAAATTTAGCTTTTGCATCCATCTTGAGTTTTTTTATTTGAATCAGTATTTATGGGGCATTGCTCTCAGCTACCAAGACCAAATTTTGCTTGATATTTCAAAAAATGGCTGATTTATAATTTGTTTCGATGAGAAAAATTGTATCTTTGTTTGCAAAAGTTGTACCATGTTGTTGTTTACTATATTTCTTTTGGAACTTATAAATATTATTTATTTTTCACTTTGTGTACCTTATTATGGACCCCTTATTGCATGCTTTAGTATGTCGTTATTTTTTTTGTTTGTTTTTTAGCAAGTCAAAATCGGTTCTTCTCATCCTGAACATTTCATTGTGCTGTCGACCCTGTGTTAACCTGCATGTGACAAATAAACAACATACGTTGCCATGGTAACTCGAAACACCAATAAAAGTAATACATCACGGTGCTGAGCCGGTCGTTTAGATATAACATTTGTTGGGGTACACATTGTGGTTTGGGCCGCATTAAAGTTGATAGAAGAGCAAGACCCTTTTCAGGTGGATAATAAAAGGTGGCTGCCGGCAGTCCCCAATCAAATGCTTTTGTGACACGTTCTCAAATGTTCCCAGTAGAGGGAAGAATCAGAGGCTACATTTGAAAGTGATCACGGTGCAGCAGTGGAGGTGGGCTTGTTTGATTAAGACTTATGGGTTGAGTTTAGAGAGGGTTAGACTGCAGCTGGTGTCAAATCAAAGAAGGCATGCAAAGACCGACAGACCCTGGCACTGGGAGGAAGCAGGAGCAGCTACAGAAACAGTTAAAGTTAGGCAGAGGCTGGGAAATCAGTCTGAAAGAAAAAGGGCAGCAGGTTGTAAGCCCCAAAAAGTATCAACAGGCAAGATAAAGAAGAGAAAATACCTCTTCTTCCTAAAGAGCTCCTGTTTGAGTCTTTTACTACAAGCACCATTTGATAAAAGCTTTCTTTGGATTCCAAATGTGATTAGAGTTAAATACCCAGCATAAAGCAACAATCTAAAAAGTGTAAATGTTCTTCAGTGCTACATTTTGTATAGTATACATATTTGTACTTGTTCTTTTAGCTTGACCTGAAGTCTTACCCAAGGAACTGGGCTCCAGTAGGCCCCACCTCGATGAGCCTGCTGGCCAGGCCCTCACCCTCCACCATGGGGGGCATGGTGGCCAGGCGATGTCTTTTCACCAGGCGGCATGTGATCCGTGTCGGCGCGCTGCACTTCTTTGGTGGAATGATGATGCGGAGGCCATTGTGCCGGCAACCCCACATGGCTCCACCCCTGGCATCCACCATGAAGCTGACCAAGAAGCTGTGGAGTGAGAGGACGAAGAAGAAATATGACTGAGACCGCCAAGAGATGAGAGCACCCACACTGGAGCTGCCGCAGAGCCTAACTGGTTCCACTATCAAATCATTTCACCCGAGGATTAATGACGGAACTATCCAGCCATCAATCCATTATCTTTACCGGCTTCTTCATTATGACACAACTCAAATTAGGAAAAGTTTGAAAATTCAAGAAAATAAATATATTGTATACTCTAACCGCTTGAACATGATGACCCCACCCCCACCCCCCCGCCCACGGTCCTGAATAAATCCTCTTTTTGTAACAAAAAACAACTCAGACTTCATATTATTACTAATACAGTAGTCCCTCACTACTTCCCCAGTTCGTTTATTGTGGATTCGCTATATTGCAGTTTTTCAAAATAAGACTGGACATAACACACAATTGGCTGATTGATGGATGAGATGTGTGATCAGCATGGAATTTTATTTAAAATGAATTATTTTAAATTATTTAGCACCTCCTGCACCTTTGTATATATATATATATATATATATATATATATATATATATATATATATGTACTTTCTGCAAGATGAGACCGTAAGGTGCAGCTGTGAGAAGACAACTTCATATGTTATGGCTGATTCATTTTAGCAGAGCTCTGGCCCTGATTCTGAATAACAAGCATGTTGTTAGTTATAAGTCAGCAGATGGAGCAGCAGTCCAACAAATATCGTTTGTGATGCTGATGTTGATTTTTAGAATAAATAATCAAATATAAGAACCCTGACAAACTGGACCACGATTTGGTGTCGGTTTTTTCACGCTCCATAAACAAACAAACATACACAAAGTATTTTTTTTCTTCATGCAAAGTGTCAGCTGAGATCATAGATCCCAAACTTTAATGTGGGATGGACTGAATGATGAGGTGACATGTAGCTGGCTTCATCCCACAGTCTGATAAACAACCAGTTCCATAAAACATGAACACTGAGACAGACAACATCGACAGAAGACGACTTAATCTGCTGCAGACACACAAAGTCTCCACAAACACATGTTCCTGGGAGATAACATGGAAACAATGTTAGTGGGAAAAAAACACGGACAGTGAATGAACTCCACAAACGTGTCCTTCACTTTCATTGCTTCATCTTGACCACATTTATTTCTAATTGAATTGAATTTGTCCAATCTACTGCCGGATGTGATTTGTTGCTGTGACGAGATGAACTCTGAGGGTTAAACACATTTCTACAAGATTTAAAGATGGAAATTTGCCCCTGAGCCTAAAACTGTACAAAGGTACGTGAGGCAATGTCTGTGAAGGACGCTGACACAAACGTCCACCTCTCCAGGAGGAGAGCACACTGCAAGCGGAGGAGAACACTGATGAAGATGAGGGAGGAAGGAAATGAGGGAACCAAGGTGCAGTGGGTCACCTGCTGTGATCTCCATGATCGTGGCACGGAGAGGAACGGCTAAAAACAACAACCACACCAGATAAAGAGTCAAAAGTTGATCAGCAACATTTCAAGGAAACACCTGTGAGGTCCAAAGAGTTTGTAGTGAACGAAAAGGAGCAGAAAACAGACTGTACACCGATGTCCCCATCTCTGAGGGGTTGAATGGTGAATGTTTGTAATTTTGGAGAAGAGTGTTTTTTCTGCACTGGAATTGAACAGAGAATGAAGTAAACCTAAATGATTTTATTGTAAGATATTCAAGTGGGGAGGAGTTACACTGTGGAGCAGAACAGAGGGAGGTCTTTTTGCTTGTCCCAGGCAGAGCAGAGTGATGGATCCTTGTTAATGGATGGAGTATCCACCACCAGGTGCAATGGGGGGGCCAGGTGGTGGCTGATGGTGGTCTTGGCCACCATAGATTAAACTTCAACCACCCCAAGGGCCACCCCAATCATTTGAGGAAACTATACTTTCAAGCAATATAAAACTAAAAAGCACATTTTCCTCAAATGGGTGTGGTTGGTTTACATATACTGTGGTGGCCGTCTTGGATTTGGACCAAGCAACCCAATTTTCAATAGTGAACTTTCTTACATCTGGATTAGAGGGTGACACTGGAGTGGATTTTCACTCCCGTCCCATCCTACTCCCACAGAAAAACATCTTGTCCCATCTTGCAGGAATCATGTGACCCATGGGATTCCCAAAAAAATGTCATCCTCTAGTACTTGACTAAAACTCAACACGTTTTACAAGCAGCATACAGAATGTCAACACGTCCCACTCAGCTCTCGTGAAGTTCAGGATTATTTGTGACTTTCCCGTCAGCTCTGTGAGCTTAATAAATACTTTATAATTTCTGACTTTGAATTGCAAAACTATTTTTACCACCTTTGTTTCTCCGCTGGTGTTTGCTCCCTCCACTGCTGTTCTTTGAAATTCAGCCGAAAGCAGAGGCTGAAAGCACTGTTGGCCTCTGTGCCATGGATTTTGTAGTTCTTTTGACTTGCATTACAGTGTAGGCGTACTGAAAGAAAACTACAAAATGGCAGAGCCTGTCCTATGGTTGTTGTTTTGTTTTGTTTTGTTTTTTGTCCTTTTGGTTAATTCTTACTCCCATCTGCTCCCGTTAACTTTTAATCCTGTACCTTCCCATTCATGAGTAATATATAAAGTTGACTCCCATCCCGTGGGAATCATGTGACCTGTGGGCTTCCCGAGAAAATGTCGTCCTCTAGTCTAGATGCAGCCACACACCAAAATGAAAGTAGGTACGATGCTTACTTTTCAACTTATCCAGCTCTCAAGATGAAACGGACGGATGGACACTCTGGCACATATCCATGTTTTCATCAGTCTTCAGTTCTAAACCACACTGCACCAGTTAAGGGTCTTTGTACTGCCGGTTCCCAACAGCTTTCAGCTGGGTTTAAGGTACCATCTTGTCTGTGGTTCCAAGTGTACTGCTCCGATGTGACAATTTTACACAAGCAGAGTGCAGATGTTGATTGGACAGTGGATCCACGTCACTGGCCGACCCAATGCAGTGAGTGGAAACTGTCATTTCCTCCCGATCATTGATGCAGACACATCTTGTATTTATTTTTACTTTTTTGGTGGTTTAATTGAAAAATGTTATTGATATGACAACTCCAGTATCAGGATATTTGCGTGTTCCCTCTTCACTCCACAATGGGGGACAAAAACTGATTTAGTAAACATCAAGCTCATACCTGCCTGGTATAATCAGAACCTTTGTATTATTTTCATAACTTTAAACCTTAAAGAAAACTTTAGTTTAATGGATAAAGTGCAAATACATATACTTCTGTCTCTCTGCCAACGCTCTGTCACTGTTAACAGTGTTCCTCCCGGTGGGACTGAACCTACCCAGAATGGATGGGGCTGGATGACAAAGCCACATTATCCAGGTTGTCTGTGCCCCAGCTGAGCCTGTAGGAGTCCCTGTCATTCTCCCTGGCAAGAGACGAAACCTGGAAACAAACAAAAGAACTCTTAGAAACTGTAAGTGAGTGAAAGGACAGAAAGCGTGAGCAACTTCACTGGAGAATATTTGTTATTCAACTGAGAAGTACTAAGAATAAGGTGAGTAGATTCAGGTGTAAAGTATCCAAAACCCTGATCCCACTGCACCCTGCACGACACCATCCACACAATGAAGCTGATAACAGCAAATTTGGAAAATCTTTAGCAGAAGAAAAAGGATATTATGATGCTGCTACATATTTTATTCCCCAAATGTTTGTCCCTGTCGATTTCTGAATCCCAGGTTTGTCTGCCCTCTGACTACACTCTGGCAGTGATGACAAAATTTCAATATGCCACCAGAAATGTTTACTGGGGGGGGGGGTTGGGGGGGAAGACACGTGGGTAACACTGAAAATCCTGGGCACCAAAATCAAAAGCCAGAACATAATTTCAGGAGATGTGTTGTGGAGTTGCCATAGTTCAGTTATTTGACAGACTGCAACACGAGAGCCAGGGAATCACCTTCTGATACACACAGGTGGTCTTTAGTGTTTTTAGGGGTGGCCATCACCCCTTCAGACTCCCAACTATTTCTATGACCTTGTTACAACAGATTGTCTTTATAAATTTATTGTATGTCTGGGTGTCCACCATCAGTTGACAGTTTCAGTCTTGCTGCAGAGAAAACAGCAGCATAAGAGGATGCAGGTGAAGGTGCATTCCCACCCACATTCTGATGTTGTCAGTACTGGTGGATGATATATATATATATATAT